TGCTTCCCCTAGCGCGGTATACTATAGTTAAACTTTAGAAAAACAAAATGGCCTTTCAAATTTACCGTTATCTAAAGTCCTTTTTTTCCAAATTTTTGATGTCATTTTTCTTCTAGACCCCACCCTGTAGAAGCTTGAAATTTTAGAAGCTTTTAGACATTAACAAATAGTTTATTTCGTTAGAAGAAAATTTTTTTCCATCTCCACCCCCTCTCAAGTTATCACCTCTTGAAATTCGTAAAATTTGAATTTTTGACACCTTATATTTCCGAAACCGCAAGCCTTTCCAAATTTTTATAAACGCAAAAAGCTAACGGTAAATTCCATGAAATTAAAAAATATAATTATTTTTCTTAACTCACACAATTAACCCTTAAAATCGAGCATTATGTTAACCCCTTTATATATTAATTTGTGCTTTATTTCAAACACTGCATATATGCGTCATCCTAAATATATGCAATTCTAGAAATAGTTTTGTATATGAATGAAAATAATTTTAATAGTTTGATAGGTATACATAGACTGTATTTAACAGCAGAATTTTCACTTGTTGAAGGGAAAAGTGCTACAATACAAACCATTGGTTTGACCCAACTTTATTCATAATATTTTTTGTTATTTTGTTAAAAATTCTAAAACACAAAAAAAAACGAAAATGTTTTCTTCATATTTCTTCCACTTGAAATTTTTCCACATAACATTACACAAGAAAAATATTAAATTAGGTCGAACTAATAAGAAGAAGGAAGAAGGAAAAAAAAAAATACATTTTATAATTTCATGTACTTTTGTTTATAAAGGACAATAATAAGGCTCTTATGTACACAGTTACCTACATAAATAAAATAGTTTTTCTTTTTTTTTTTTCATTACCTAATAAATATTACATACATACATATTTGAATAACTTAATGAAAAATACATAAAATGGTTTTGTTAATTGGAAGATGGTAAGTAATTTATTAAAATTATTAAAAAGAATTCGGATTATAACAGAAAAATTAGTGGCAAAGATAAATCAATAGATCATGTTTTGTATTTCGAATCGATTGAATTGATATTGACTTGATTTAAAATTTGGTATTCCAAAATGCGATTGATTTTTGCAAATTTTCGAAATATTACAAAATTTGCATATGTTCTTATAAGATGAAAGCAATAGGAAGTAGAATCTTACGGGATGATGATGATTTTACATGAAATTTTAGAATTCTAAAACAAATTCTGTTTTTATTTGAATTTCTTTTAAAAATCAATTACATATGTCAATCAAATCATATGACAAAGTAAAAATGATGTCAAAATCTGACAAAAAATTTCAACCAAATCAGAATTTAAAATATCGTTTTCGAAATTCCAATTCAAAAATATCAAATTTCAATTAATTCGAAATCGGAATACATAAAGTGATCTATTATACTTTTATCATTAAAAACTTGAACTTCCTTGAACACAAATAAAGAATAGTCTAATAAATACCTACATACATAAAGAAATAAACTGATTTCTGTCGTTAATTCAGCCAAATTGTATTAAAAATATAAATTTTTCTGAATTCAGAGTGTGAGCTAATGTCCAAATAACTGATCAGGAGCTGATACATAAAGCTAAGGCTTATTGCACCAAATTATTTTTTACTTTTGTTTTAATCAATTAATAAAAAAAATTATACAGAGAGTCAAAATACTAATTAATTATACAATATAAGAGTTAAAAAGTTCGAAACATAAAAGGAAAAGTAAAAGTGGCGGGTGCTATTCAGATCTAATCAGAATATTATTTTTAATTATTTACACCCATATTTTGTTAGTCGCATCACTTGAGGCAAAGGCATATTATTAAAAAGAATTTTGTTTTTCTATATAGATTTCGAAAGTTCAAGATTAATTTTATTCCCAAAAGTACAAAATTTTTGAATATCAAGTCAATTGATACGATTAACAAAATAGTGATGTTAATATGTATTAACGATTAATATCACAATATCTGCAATAGCTTTGAATTCTTATTAATAAATTCTTTCTGAAATATTCTCATAATCGACGGTTCTACTATTCTTATTATTTATAATCTAACAATTTGTCTGCTAAAAATGTTCTCCTAACTCTATTAAATTTTGACCTATCTATTTTGAGTAATATAAATATAATTATAATTTTACTTAATACAATAGAATGTAATCATAAGGAACTAATTATAAAAAAAAATTCATATCTGCTAAACATAATCTTCTGATACAAATTTTACAAGCCTAGCATTATAAAAAATTGCTCTTTAAATCTAAATTTTTTATTGCTATACTAATTATTACATTTTGTAAATATAATCAATTTACTAAATTACTCTTTTAAAACCTTATCTAATTAAAAGAAAAAATTTTAAAATTTCATATGACTACAGTAATCAAAATGAGTGTAGTAACTACCATAAAAATAATAGAATATATATTATATACAATAATTGGTGGCTGTATTATCAAAATATAAAACATATTAGATTTGATACAATTGAACATACATGCTATACTCTTTAAATTTTTTAAAGATAATTTACATAAAGAAATATATATGTATGTATATAAAATTATTTAATCGATAAGAAAATTTTTGTTTTCTTTTGTACTTTTGTTTTTAAATTTCCCAAAAAATTTTACTATGAACGTTTTATTTGCTATTCCCTCTATCTCTAAGTTATTTAAAATAATATAAAATTTTTATTGAATATTCATACATACATTAATATTTATATTTACATTATTAAAATGATATGATGATTCATTTAATTTCATAATTTTTATTTTAAAAATAAAATTATAAATATAAAATTAATTAAATTATGATTTGAAATATCCCCAGCCATAATTTATTGCCGTTATTGACCCCTTAATCATTAATTTTTCAATTTTTTTCCTAATTCTTTTTTCAAAGATTAAAATAAGATATTATGTTCATTTTATTAATTGTATTATAGAAAGTATTTATGATTAAATTTTCTATTAAAAATTTAAAGAAATTCTGAGGAACATTTAAACATTTTTGTTTCAAAAACACGAATTTAATCAAGATTTTTATTAAGTTTAACATTTAAATAAAATGAGGTTTTTATTTTCTAAACAGGTGAAACTTAAAAATGTATCCGACAATAAATACATATTAACTCAGAATTAAACTTATATGGGTATTTAAACTATATATTTTCAAAACAAAAAAAAATATTCATTTTCTATTCATGTACCTACATGTTTTAAAATTAAAGAAATTTTCATAAAAGCAATACTGCAAAAACATAACTTTTTAAGTATGCAATATATTTTTGACTATATTTTATAAAATCAAAACATTTCATATGATTTAACTGCGCTACCCATACTAATTTGGTTCTATTGCGAAAATTTAGCATTGTTTATGAATAAACTAGATAAGTAATATTCGCTTATGAACACAAATACAGTCCAGTTTTCGCTATATTATATCGTGATATACTGCATTTATGAAAAGACCTTATATATATTAAGTACTCGTACATACAATAATGAGCCTATAGATAACAGACTAAATTGCAAGAATAGTTAATCTTTCTTCAAATTAACATAAAGTTATAAAATATGATTTATCAAAATTCATATAGAAATAGAATTTTTTTTTTTTTGTACAAATATACTTATGTACAATGACATAAATAGTCACATTTATAGTAGTAAGTTTTCGATAAGCAAATATAAATGATGATTTAAAGTTAAAACTCTTAATTTTTTTAGTTTACATCTTATCACATTATAATATTATATTAAAATTTTATCATAGTCGTTTTCAAATTTCCTAAAAAAAGAATTACCAGCATCTTTAGTTTTTACTAGAAAAAAAAAAACACAAAATCATTATTATAATTTTTTTTTTTTACTCTTATCATAATTATTTGAATTTTTTTAGATAATTTTCTTTTCTTTTTGTTTTTTTGTTTTTGTATTTTAATATAATTTATCTATTACTATAATTATAACTTACCCTAAACAAAAAAAAAAAATAAAAATAAACTGAATAGCAAAATTATATACGAAACAAAATATTAACAATAAAAAGGTATGGTTATACATACGTATATATATATGTATATCATATAAAAAACAAATATGTTCGGCAAATTTTTTATTTTTAAATTCTTATTACTTAAAAGTTAAATAAAAAAAAAAAGAATAAATTCTTTTTTAATAATGTTTCCTATATAAATTCGTTTTAGCATGACAATATTTTGCTTTTTTATCTTTTTTTTTTTTTCAATCATACTTTATTATTTTGTGCTACTTTATTGATTTTATTTTATAAATTTTGAATAATATGCTTTTATTATTAAAAAAAAAAACAGATCCTACAATTTCAAACAGTCTACAAATTTTTTAACCATGTTATAGAAAGAAAAACAAAAAATTTAATATTACAAGAAGAAAAGAATATAAAATTTACGTTCTAAAATTGATCATACATAATCAAAACTAGAAATGTAATTTAAATAAAACAAATATTACTGAACACGCGATATTATAATATTCTTAAGTAATATTTTAAGGTCTTATACATAAGAAAGAAAAATATTTTTATTAATATTAAAAAATTTACAAACAATATTTTTGCAATAAATTTTTCAAATTATTTTGTATAATAAATCTTTATATTATCTCAGTATTTTATTTAATTTTTTTAAATATTTTAATTAAACATTTAATGTAAAATTAAACAATTTAAAAAATAAAAAGGCAGCTACTAAAATGCAGATCTAACATCAATTTGATTTATTTAACTATAGAATTTCAATTGCTAAATAAATCGAAATTAGCGTTAGATCTGCATTTTGGTAGATACGTAAAGAAATTAAAAAATTATTTATTAATAAAATAGCTCTTTAGAATTCGATTCTCTTATCGAAACATTTAAGAATTTCTGATTTAAACAAAATATTGTTTTATAGATTTTCATATGTTAGTTTGTAATATTACAAAATATTGCATGTATTAGAAATAATATTTTTTTGTTTTCCAGAACTGTTTTTCTTTAAAATTTTCATGTACCAACGTTTTAATCTTAAATTAAAAAACAAAAACTTAAATTTTGAAACTTTAATTAAATGATTTTATATTCGATTTTATTTTACCAATTTTTGTTAATTACCAAAAAAAAACAAAAAACTTATCTAGTAATTAGATTAGAAAATTAAAAAGTCACCAGTATAACAGTTCTTAGCAATTGTATACAAGTTGGTACAATATGTATTTCAAATATGGTTTTAAGTTTTATATACATATATTAAATTAAATACTATTGAAAATAGAATCAAAAAAAATTGAATCTTTTTTCATAACTGTAAAATAAACCCTATGAAGAGATTAAATTCTTCTTTAAAACTTAAAATTAAAAACGCTTAAAATTTAATTTTATTTAAAAATATGCTAAAATTTAAAAAAAAAAATTTATTATTATTATAACAATCTATTAAAATGAAATTAAAGCAATTTGTTTTTGTTTTTTATATTGTTCCTAATAACTCAAATGTTTCTGTTCATCATTACTATGTTCATCAGCGCTACAACTTGATCCACTTTGAATTGCTTTTATTACTTCTTCTTGTAAAGTTGATGGTGGATCTGATAAAAGATCCGTTGTCATAGATAACTGTCTTAATTTATTTGAAACAGCTGGTCTTAATTCAATTAATGAACAATGTTGATCAACCCAATGTAATGCAGTACGATGTAATTCTTCTAAACTAGCAGTTGAAACTGTTGTTGTAAATGAATTTAACAGTGGCTGAAATATTAAACCTAAAATCCAAAATTTCCAATTTTCTAATGTTCTCATTCTAACGTATTCATCAAATAATTGTTTAACTTTTTCAGTTCTTTGGCGTGATATTGGTGCACCATTAGCTGGTAATACAGAATGAAGTTGTGTAAGTGAGTTATTTAAAATATCACGATCGTTTCGTAATTTGTTGATTTTTTCACGCAATTCTTCACGTTCTGAACGTAATTGTCTAATATATTCTGCACCCTTTTGCAACATAGCAGCCTTACTTAATTTTGCATTAGAATTATGTTGTAATTGTGGAATTAAAGAGTGTAATAAATCAAAACCATTTTTAATATTATAACGACGTTTTTGTTCGGCATGAATATGACCAGCTCTTCTTTGATTTGATGAAGAAGATCCACCCGAACGATAAGATGGAGGAGATACTGGAGTAAAGTCTTGATCTGAAATATACGATTCAGGAGATAAACTAAGAACAGAATTAGATGGCGTTGTAGCTAAATTCATTGGTGCAATTGATGTTTTTAAAAGTGGTGAATTAGTTTGCAACACTAAATTTTGAGGTAATGAGTTCGATTTCATTGGAACAACTTCCATTTTTGGTTTTTGATACCCCATTAAACCTGATGGTGGTAAACTATTTGTTTTTGTAGTAGCTGTATTTATAGGAGAATTAGTTTTTGTTGGCTGTAAACTGTAAGAACTTGCTGAGGAGTTTGTTGGAGAAGAAGTTGAAGAACTATTATTATTTTTTAAAAGCTGTGCAAGTGTACTATTCAACATTGGCTCACTATTTGCATTTTGCAATGCCTCTGCTGAATCCATAATCTGCATATATGTATTTGCTAGATTCTGTTGCATTGAATTACTACGATTACGAGATCTTACAACTCCCCCTGGGGTTGCTGTACAAGTTTTAGGCACTAAAAAATTTTCTTCTCTCGTTTCTAATTGTTTTATAGAAGCATTTAGAGGTAGACTATTTGAACGGAAAGGCTCCTTCGGTGAATTGACTTGTTGCTGAACTTTTTTATTTATCATGAGCCCAGACTGTATATATCGATTAGAATTAAGTTTAGTTATTTCATTTTCATTTTGTACTTGCATTGGTGTAATCACTTGATTTGTAAATTGTAATGCTGGACAATTATTTTGCATTTGTTCTTGTGCTAAGGGAACAATATCTATTGAGTTGTTTTGCTGAAAATTTAGTATTGACAGCAAGTCAGACTGATTCACTTGCAACTTTGTTGAACATGGAGACGCATTATCAACTGCAATAACTTGAGGCACCGAGATATTTTTATTTATAGCAGATATGCTTTCACTATTTATTAATGGCACATTAATATCGGAATCTAATGAATAATTGTTTTGTTGAGGCACTAAAAAAAAAAATAATAAAATAAATTATGTTCGTTATCCACAAAATCCTTACCATTTGAAATTTGATATTGTGATGGCATAGGCTGATCAGCACTCATATGAAACACAGTTTGCGGTTGTTGCTGACGCTGCTGTTGCTGTGCTGTTGCTATGTCCTGCATATTAGTTAATTCAGCTACAATTTGTTGATATATGCTAGTTTGATGAGAAGTTGGTTGAGCTTTATCATAATTATGGGGTTCCCGTTTCCTAAACAGTCTTCCAACATTTGGTTTATTAATCCTACCATGTTTAACTTTATTTGATGGAAAATTACCATACTGATTTTGATTCTGAGCATTTATAAGAGGAAATGTTTTCATTAATAAATCTTCTTTTTGACTTGAAATATTATTTGGAATTTGAACTTGGTCTGAAAATTGAGTTGTTGGGTTTGTTACATTCGACTGAATATTAGGTATGTCGAAAAGATCCTGTTCCATTTTAGGATCTACTATTGAATCTGTTAGTAAAGGTGCAGCTGGATTTAAAGAATTTAATTGTTCTAAATCGTCTTCTACGTTACCAATAATTGCAGAAAAATCTTGGTAATCGTTATCAACACTTTTTAATAAATCTTCAGCACCTTCTTCAGGCACTGGAGGTAAAGCTCGTGCGTTTTGTAAAAGTTCTTGATAATGCAAATCTATGTCATCTAAATTAGGTTGAAGTGCTCCTAAATTTGGTTGTAAAAGATCAGCATTACTTGCATTTTTTGCAATTTCTCTGCGATCAGGAAAAGGAAAGGGTTCATTAATTGTAGAAAATAATATGTCACTCATATAAAAATCTTCAGTGAAAAAATAACGATCATCCGTCATGGAAAATTCCATCAAATCAAAATCACTTAAAGTATCGCTACAAGGCAAAACACCTTTAGCATTTGATATGAAATTTCGCCTCCATTTTCTATATTCAGCTTTGATAACATCTAAATGACGCTTCCAATATTTACCTATGATAAAAATTAATTAAAGATAAATAATTTTTAATGCAAATAACAAATCTTGTTATTTATTTTAAAATCAAACACTTGTTATATTTTCAATACTTTTTTATCAGATTAATTTGAAAAAAAAAGCAAACATATCTGATATTTAAAATAATTCGTATTTCAAAATTTTAAAGCATATTTACCTTCTAAGACAACACTTTGTGGATTGTTATGTATATCAACATCCAATGGTGAGGCAAATTGGCAAACTGGAGTCCTTCTTTTAAGTATGAATTGCATATGCCAACAACGCCAAATAACATTATTTAAGCGAATTTTATCTTTCCAACGTAATCGAACTCCTTTAAAATGATTCCATTTCGGTGAAGTTAATTTTTGCGAATAAGTCAAATTCATACATTTAAATAATTTGGTTAGAGATGTTTCAATTTCTAATGTTGAATTTGTTGTTTGTGCTCCACCAGCATAATTCAAGGCCTTTCTAGGAACATATAATTGTATATCACGGCATGTGTTTACTTGAACCTCTTGTGAACCTACAGTATTTGGATCATCCGGATCTGGCATTTTAACATCTGCAGGTTCGTCATCAACAACCTCTTCAGCTTCCTCAAAATGTGATACCATAAACTGACCAGAATGAATTGATTCTCTAGTAGTTTTTCGAATTGAAGATGGCCGTTCTGTAATCTGAAACGTCCTGCCTACGTTGTAAATATTATCGAATTCACTAGCCATTTTAAAAATCCCTTATTTTTTTTAATTTTCGTTTAAGGAGTCTTTTTTTTTTAATTTTTTTAATCCTAACCGTAGTATTATGCTAGACCCGTATTATTGAATTAAATTATTTTTTTTAGCTCTTCTTGATACCACGACCTCGACGGATGACATTTTCCTTTCTTTGATAATATTTTTGAAATGTTTTATTATTTTCATTTTTCATCAGCTGTTCTCAGAAGCCACTATAAAAGAAATTTCTAAACACTTCCCATACGTTATTTGAAATTAATACGTCAACTACACAACGAAACGCAATAAAATTTCTAATAATACAAAAATTCTATTATAGTTAATTTTATTTTCTTAATTAATTAAAAAATTTGTTAAAAATTTCTGTCTTAAATTGTTATTAAGAATGAATGAATATTTAACAAGAAATATCACATTTAAATTTCCATATGTTAAGACAAGTTCAGAAAATATGCAATAAAAAATTGTAAGTGTCTCTTAAAGTGAAATGTCAACTTTGATAACAATTTTCAATATTTCAAAATTCCGCGAAAAAAAGAAACTTCAGTGTTCAACAGCTGATTTATCTTATTTTATAAACATCAACTACTGGGACTTGCATATATTTGTACTTGGAAATTAATTTTGTTTTAAATTACACAAGTTTTCTTCAGAATGTGGCCACTTATTTTAACTTTTCTTAGAAGTAATGCCGTGTATATTACATTACCGGTAGCTGGGGTTATAGGTTTCATTGGATATAACTTGGAAAATCTTTTATCTAGCAAATATACACCTTATAGCAGTAAGTTGACTGAAATTGAATACTTTCAGCGAATATTCATATTATATAAAGCAAATATTTCTTTTATAATCAATAAGTAATAAAAATATTAATAAATGTATTCTATTTTAGAGTCCATACAAGAAAACCGGAATGAAAGACTAATGGAAGAAATAACCTCAGATCCACTTAAACATGAACGTTTAAAACTAAAGGAAAATGTATTAGGAAGAAATTTGTCACCTTCATTGCAAGAGAAATAAAAATGAAAAAAACGAAGAAAATGAAGCCTTTTTTGTGTAAATTCCAAGTGCTTTTAGTGTAAAATATTTGCACTTAAGTAGTTATTTAAATTTGAATATTTAAAATTTTTGTTAATAAAATAATATGTTAAAGTAGAAAAACGAACAAAACAAATTAATCTTGTAAAATATTGTGACTGAAATTGAAAAAAAAAAGTTGTTAATGAAATGAGTAAATTTTCAATTTATTAAAATTTTATAAAAATATAAATAGAAACTGCGAATGTGGGAAAAATATTAGAAAAGCGAATATAAAAAACTATGAAGGAAATCAGATAAGGTGTTAGACGGTTGCGTTTCATAGCCCCAGTGGCCTAATGGATAAGGCATCGGCCTCCTAAGCCGGGGATTGTGGGTTCGAGTCCCATCTGGGGTAAAGTAAAAATAATTTTTTTTTACAAACTCAAAAAAAAAAAATTATTTAGGAAGACTTTTCAAGAATGTGTTTTTTTTTCGTAATTAATTTAAAAAAAGCAAAATACTTATTTATTATAAGAAATACTAATTTATTAGAAATATACATATTTATTATAAGATGAATTCGTAATTATTGTTAAATTAGATTTAACTAACAAAAAAAATTCTTTATGCATCCCTTGCGGGGATCGAACCCGCGACCTTTGGATTAGAAGTCCAACGCGCTATCCTCTGCGCCAAAGGGACATATACAAACACATGGGTAAAGACGCATTTTCAATATGGGCTCTTTCTTGATCGTAAATATCGTAAAATATTTTTTAAAAAATTTACCTTGCATTCTATTAAAATCGAAATAAAGTTGTGTATTAGACATTAGAATATCTAAAAAATATATATGATTAACTCAATAACATTACAAATAAATATTTACTTTACATAAAACGTAGAAAGAAAGAAATTTGTCTCACCTTAACAGAAGATTAGAATTAACAATTATGTGTTAGAACTTAATTATGTAAAGCAATTAGTAAGAACATACGCATTGGCAATATTGCTCGTACCCTAAAAGTTTTTATTTATTTCGTTTTTTCTAAATACCTTCTAAATGTTATGTGTTCATATTATGATAAAAAATTTATGACTAATTTAAAACTTATTAAATTTATGATTGAATAATAACTTATTTCTAAACTGTAGCTTATTAAAAACCGTATTACTGCAATATGGAACCAAAAAAATATGGAGGTGTATGCAGAAACCAAAACAACATAAGAATTCTTTGAAGAATTTAATCATGTAACACAATTTGCGAATTTTTGAGAATTATGAAAATAAAATGAACAAAATTACTGAACCTATGTAAGTAAAAGTTGAATAACTTGTGGTTTTCACCATAAAACTCTTCATAAAATGTTATTTTATTAGACACAAACTTAAGTGTGCTGTAGTTAATGCTCTTTATTCAGCATTTAATTAATATTACTAAATAAAAGGTATTGATGACCGTTTCATCTACCATGAACTAAATTTACCATGTTTTACTAATTCCATTTTGTCATTAACGAAGATGTGTATTTCAAGTTCTAAAATTTAAAGTTCAAATTATACAACTAAGTTCACAAATAAAAGCGAATTAGAAAAATGTTGTCTGAATGTCTATATTGTACTTATTCGTAGTAGAATTTATAGCCTCGGTAGCGCAGTAGGTAGCGCGTAAGTCTCATAATCTTAAGGTCGTGAGTTCGATCCTCACCCGGGGCAAATTTTTTTTTTTTAATATTTTTTATAAAAATCAGTTTATTTCAATTATTCCTTGTTGATAATACGAAATTGATTTAGAAGGAATAAATAATTAATAACTATTTGAAATTCACAATTTTGAATATAATTTTGAAAATTTTAAATTTACTACCTTTGAATGAATTTTAATGAATCTGTTGATGGGCATTTTTTAGCAAATATGTACATAGTTTCCGTGTTTAATTAAGTAGGAACATTTTAAATGCAAGAAATCCTAGAGTTTGTTTGAATTACTGTAAACTGTCCATACTATATTTCCAAAGCACAGTGATGTGTTTAAAACGGCTCAATTGAAATTTTTCTAAAGGTAATAAAATTTGGTATGTTCTTAATATATAAACATTATTTATATTCTAATAATTTCTAGATTATATTTTGGGTTATTAGGTAATTGATTTATATTATATCTATTTTAGATTCTTACTGCTCTTCAAATTAGCATTTGAAGAATTTTATAAAAAAAAAAAAATAAGAAAAATTTTTAAAAAAAATTTGCCCCGGGTGAGGATCGAACTCACGACCTTAAGATTATGAGACTTACGCGCTACCTACTGCGCTACCGAGGCTATATATTCAAAACTCCATTTGTTTGTTTTGTTTATCCTTTTAATAATTTCTGTTGTACAAACTACAAAATCATTATAATGTCATTAAATCACTATTCCTTAATAGTACATACAATTTTAAACCTACAGTTTACCGATAATCTATAATTATATAGTCTATTAAATAATTTTTTTCACGTACAATGTATCATACATAATTATAATCCATGCATAATTTATAAAATATGAAACCAGGCTAAAATTTTTCAAAAATTTTTAATAAATAAAATAATAAGTTCATTTACCTTCCCTGTTTTTCATTAAAGTTATTTAAAATGTACAAGTAAGTATAATATTCAAGAATTTCAAAGGAATTGAAGCGGAAGTTAGTAATTACTTAAAATAAAATATTTCAAATTACATTCTAAGAATAAAAGCTTAAACAAAAATGTGGGTAATTTAATTATGAACTTTTACACATGTATATATATATGTATATACAAACATTTACATTTATTTAACATAATATGCAACATACCTCAACATTATTGTTTTAAATTCACATACCCACCACATATTATCAGGTATGTCCGAATAAAATAATATTTTTATTTATTTTTAAAAAATCAGCAATATTTTATCATATTATTAAAATTTATATGAAATGTCTAATGAACCTTCTTAATATTTTTTTTTTTGATTTCAGCATAAAATATTGAAGGTGTATTATTATTCCTTATACATAATTATTTTAAATGAATCATGCAGGGCTAATAAGAACGTATGTAAGACAAAAAATATTTAACTAAAAAAAATGAATTGTTTTGAATATTCGTCAGACAGATTTTTTTCAATCCAATTTTTATTTCCCCCGCAAAGTACTTCTAGATCTGAAATGAAGTTTTAAGAATTATATTAAAATTAAATCTATTTTATTTCTGTTCTTAAGCAAACAATAAAATTTATTAACAAACAGTTTGGCTTTGATTTTCTATATTTCGTAAATTTCTAACAATTTTGGAATTACAGTAGAAATCGGTTATTGGGTACACTCAAGGGACCAAAAAAAATGAACGTTATAAACGATTTTTACTATATTTAGAAATTAGGGCAAACTACGTACAGGTATACCACTTTTTTCGGATGCAATAACGAAAAATATTTGGCAGCTTTCGGTATATATTGGAATAGTCTATATAGAAATGTAAGATTTAAGTGATGCTAATTAATTATGTATCTAGTCCAATAAACTAGAAGTAGTTTTTACTTTAATAATTTTATGTTTCTTAACAATTAAAATGATTACTCAGCTTTTACAAGCCAATAATTATATTCAAAAAAATATCGCCAAAATATCGCCATTATTTAGAGTCCTTTGTATACAATTAAAGTAAATAAAGGGGTATAGCAAACTTCGTACATAGGTACATAATAAAAACGAAAATAAAAAAGCTTTTTCTTTTGCACTTTGGCCACAATTTTGTAAAAATGGAAAAACGTGTTGGCGGATGTTATTGTATTTTTTTTTTTTTTGTTTTGACATTTTTAAATGGGGTGTGTGACGGCAACGTTCTTTCTATTTTTATTATTTTTATTTGTTTATTATTATTTTTTTCTTATTCTATATGTGCTTATGGATATATTTATAAGTATAGTAAAATTTCGCCAAATTGTTCTTAATTTGTAATCATTAAGATGCAATGACGACAGCTAGGCTATAGCTGTTTATAAAATGTTTTTTTTTTTTATATTGTTATTCTTCAATTAAATTCAATGAAAAAATAATTTATACATAAATATACAAATTTCTAAATAAGTATGTATGTATGCAGGTATATAATTTTATAGTTTTACATAAAAATAAGAATAAAAATTTAAATAATTTGAAAATAATTTTACAAATTCATTGGCTTAATAATTTATGTACATAATTATACCTATATGCTCTCACTCTAGTGACTAAATATTGTACTATCAAATTTATTTTAAATTATATATACATGTATATATGTATAACAAATTATTTATAAACTGATGATGGTTATAAGTATGTAGGTATGGTAATTAATATATGTATGTATAAAATGAACACACCTCCTATAAATTTGGGGGCTTGTTTTTATAAATATTTTTATTGGCTACTTTTTCTTTTGTCTATCATTTTTCTAATATTTTAAAATTTTATTTATGGTTTCATTGCCATCACATACAAAGAAGATTTATTTTTATTTTTTTGCATTAAAATTTTTTTTTTTAGTATCTATAGGTAATTATAAATTAATGTAAATATAGTAAATGTATATACAATTAGTACTCTTTCAATTTTTGCATATATACGAGTATGTATATGTACGTAAATTTCTGCATGAAATGTTAATTATTTCCTGGTTAACATTTGAAAAACAAAAACTCAATATTTTTTTCATGTTAAATAAATTAGGTGCTAATTAAAATATATTGTGAATAATTTCATAAAATAATATTTAAATAAACATAAGTAAAAAAAAAATATAATTCACAATACGTAAGTTCCAAATAGAGTTCTAATTTCTAACAATAACTTTAACATCTAACTTTTAAAAAGTACCGCGATTGACGTGATTGACAAGTACAGTCTGTGATGACGTGGCAAATAAAGTAATTATAGCAAAGTCACATAATTCATTTTGCAAACCAAAAAAAAATTTTGCAATGTCGCATGAGCCAAATTGTTC